TTTTGTCATAATTTTGTAAGCTTCGAAGCTCTCTATCTTGCATCAACAACAGCTTCGAAGAATTAATAATGGTGGTTGTGAACCTTCGAAGCTATAATTGCAGGACACGTGGCATCCTCTTTTTCATTTGGAAGTTAAAAGAAGTTATAGAGATGATGGAGAATATGAAGGACAAAGTGGATGAGTGGGAGGACAAAGTGGATGAGTGGAATGACACATGGCAAGACAAGAATGAAGATGGAAGAAATGGGTAGTTACTAAGTAGTTATTGCTGTATTTTTTCTTCTATAAATAGCCATTAATGGCTACATTGTAAAGGATCCAGAATTCATAATCAAAGACACTTGATTTCAATATTTCTTGTTATTTTCCTTATCTTAGGAGTAGTTTAACATAGATTTATATTTCGAAGCATTTATTTTCAGTATTTCCATTTCGAAGCATTTTATGTGCTTTCTTTTCGAAGCATAGGAGTAGAGGTAAGTATTTATTACTTTGATTGTTCACTCAATCATCTTTCTCCGTCCCTTTTTCTTCTTTTACTTTTTCTTTTCGCTACACTTGGCAAATTTGAAGTCCTCTTCGTTGAGGCAAAAGAACCGTCAACACAATCGCTTGGTAATTGGCTTGAATTTAATCTGTAAGGATTTTTCAATCCTTGCTGGCACGCTCGCATTTATGATATTTTCCTTCGTAAGAAAAATAAGCCAACAATAACATACCCGAATCAGTTATGCGAAATCTTTGAATGACCCAAAATTGATTGAACATAAACCTAATAATAATATTAGTGGAAAAGAGTTTCTCTCTCTTGACCATCTTTAGAATACATTGAATTCAAAATTAATTTGATGAGTATTCTAAATGTCCTTTTATAGGTAGAGAGAGGACCAGTTTCCTTATTCAACAATGATTCCACTCTCCCATCAAAGTAGGATATTTGAAAAATACTCTTCTTTATTTACCAATTAATTGTAGCAAGAATGTGGAATCATAATCCTGTCAAATCTCTAATTCATATTACCATATAATGTGGGTCAATATAATAACTAAATAAATAATTCAGTCTTACATTCTCCCACTTGGCCTATATGAGAACTTACATCAAGATTTAACAAGATTAACAATAGGCACGCAATAAATCATATTCAATATTACATTTAAATTAGTCATCATCATAATACTATAATTAAATAGTTCACTAATGTGAGTCATGGCGGTTCTACACCAATAGTGCGACATAATCCCTTCTATGTATTACAGCACTATCAACTAGTTTAGCATAGACCTTTAAGTGAAGAGTATAAAGAGGTCCAGCAATAATGTTTTTTATGAAAGACTATTCCTGTCATCATTAATTCATTCCCATATATGTACGTACTCATTTCATAACAGGAAATATATCAGAAACACAATTAATGAGATCTCAATATGTCAACAAACACAATCAATCATAAACAACTGTTATGAATTACATTCAAGACCCAATTGGCAAGTTTCTTAATTGCCTTTAAGAGTAATCCTTTCATCAATAGATCTGCACTTAAAATTTATATACTTACGTGTTTTATTGACATTTTCTGTTTCTGAAATTCTTCTTCAACGACAAAGTATTTCAATTTTATATGTTTAGCATCATTAGAATACTTGTCATTCTAAGAAAATAAAACAATTGCGAAATTATCACAATAAATTCTCAACGACTTGGTAACAAAAATCGACAATCCCAAGTCCTAAGATAAAGTTTCGCAATAACAATTCATGAATTGTGATCTCAAAGCACACCACAAATTCAATTTTCATAGAAGATACTTATGATAGTTCATTTTACACTTTTCTTAATATTGCTCCTCCACATAAAAGAAACAAAGAACCAAAAGTTAATTTTCTACTATCAATATATCATTTAAAGTCTGAATCTAAGTAGCCAATCAATTCACACTACAACAAAAAAAGTCTATGGTGACAAAAACGCGTGACGAAAAAATAGTTCGTCTCCAAATATACATG